ACAGAGATCAGTTTGAAAACATGATTTTTTTCCTCCATCTTAAATTTTCAAACACCTGAATTTTTAAAGACACCTGAGTGTTCTTTACACTTTGCTTTGCCCTTCTCTTCCTCCCTGCCTCTCCTTCGTTCTCTGCAGTCTGTGACCTCAGAAAAGGCTCATCCATCCTCAGAGTTTGATCCCGTCCCACTGTGCCCGGCCTGTCATTACATGCCTGGGGGGGACGGCTGTCCTGGGCTGTGGGACGACGAGACCTCTCTAAACCCAGAGCCATCTGGCTACGCAACGTTTCCCAAAAGCATCCAGCTTGACTTGGACGTCGTCTTTCCCTGTGCTGCCCTTTCTCTTTGCTTTTTTTTTGTATTCTAAACCCTATTATCAGCTCTATGTCTCTTGACATTTTCTACAGTAATGTACAGTGCATTGCTGCGTATCTTGCTACCTAACTCCTACTACCTGTCTCCTCTTCTGCGTTCTCCTTCCTCCTTTTGCTGCTCCAGCTCTAGGCACTGGAACATCCCGTACTGGAATGCCATCTGGTTATCAAATTGCCAAAATCCTCTCATCAAAGTGTCGACTTCCCTTTGCTCTGTGCCTCTCAGGTACCTTTTGAGCAAAGAGAGAAGCATCAAATGCTAGTTTATATATATATAAAAGCATTTGTAGTAGAAATGAGCAGTAAAAGACTTGATGATGTTATAGGAGGGTTTTTTTCTTACATTCTCCAGATGAAAAGCTCTCCGAGCGGCCATCTTCCATTAAAGCTAGGGTAGGCAGTTTTTATTTATCCATAATATTAATAATATCATATTGTGATTAAAGGTATCTGAGGAGACAATAAACCTTTGCACTCTCTCTCGGTGAGAAAAATCGAGCCCAAGATTTAAGACTTTGGCCAATCAAATGCTTTTTCACTCAGATTGGATGAGACGATATAAATTCGGTGGTTAGCACCGTCGCCTCGTAGCTAGAAGATCGTCGAGTGAGGACACCCGGGAGCCCTGTGATAGACTGGTTACCTGTCCAGGCGAACCTGCCTTCACCCTGAGTCAGCTGGGATAGAGATAGACTCCACCCCCTAGTGAGGATGAAGGTGTATAGATACTGGATGGATGGTATGAAGACCAACAAAGTCCACATTGGGTAAAGGACGTATTAGTTGGATGAATTAAATGGAGGACTTTCGATGTTGCCTTTTGGCTTTGACTGTTTTTTGACATGCATATGGCTTCCATCTGCTGGGAGGGGCTTAGAACGGACCACTAAAACCCACTAAAACCCACTAAAACCCACTAAAAGACTACAGGGGAAGCATTTACAAATTCTGCTGTTTCTAAAAACGCTTTTTATTGTTTTTCACACTTTCCAGATTTCTCTCAACTGCAGCTTTAATAAAAGACCATCTGCATGCTTTGGGTCTCAGAAACAAAATGAGCTTCTTTCATCAGTAATTATTTTTCCCTCATTAAAGGAGGAAAGCGGACCACCATATGCCTGCTGTGATAACTGCAGTGCAGAAAAAAACCAAAAGGTACGAGGACGGCAGCTCCTAAAAATCCACCAGAGCTCTGAGTAGAAACCTGACCTTCATGCTCTACCAGACGGATGACGTCCCTTTTCCAACTTGTCCTTATAGGGATTAAGCTGAAGAGATTTTTCAAAATATACACATCTGGATGATGTTGAATACAGTGCACAATATTATACAAATATGGGATCATTTAGCTTTGGAAAGAAGTCATTAACTACAGCTGCTGATGGTAGTTTGGAAGGAACTCACGCGTGACGTCAAGCTGCTGGCCACGGCTGAGGAAGCGTGCTGCGATCAACACTTAGAGCTGCAAGCCTTCTGGCCAGGGCTACATCCCAGATCACTATGTGAAGTTTTAAAACCCCTGAAAGCTTTGGGCATTTTTTGTGGGGCGCTACGTGCACCAGTGCCAATACACAACATATTTTCAGTGACCTCAGGACATTTACATAGCCAGGATAAAGACCTAACAATAAAACATTATAGAGAGAAACCTAACAAATCCAATGACTTCATTTGAGCAGCTTCATGGTTACAACAGGAAGAAACCTGCAGCAGAACCAGGCTCAGGTAGGGTGACCGTCTGCCTCACCTGGTTGGGGTGAGGGTAAAGGGGAGCGAGAAAAGGAGGGCAGAGAAAAAACAGGTGAGGTGAGGTCGGTAACTGCAGATACCTGCAGAGAGGACAAAACTCCTGGAGAGAGAAGACACAAAGTTAATGACATGCACAGGTAGCATAGAAATGCACAGAGAGGAAAGCAGAGGAGAGGTGCATCATGGGAAGTCCCCCAGCGGCCCAGACCTAAAGCAGCATAACGAAAGGATGTTTCATGGTCACCTGAAACATCCCTTACGGGCATTTTCAAGTCCCACGTGTGAATCACACTGTGGACGTTGTTGCTGTGTGGCATGCACTGGAACCGTTCAGGTCCCACGAGGCGACGTTCCTCTTCAACTTCACATGTTCACGACTAAAATAAGAAACACAAAGAATCCAGCCGACACATCACCTAATTATGGGGTTAAAAATGCTCTAAATCCTATTTGTCTGCCTGACTTTAACAAATCCAGTTCGATTTGCTCACTGAAGACTCCAAACAATGTCCTCACACTGTCCGAGTGCTAAAATCTAAACAAGAGAAGCTCCAGTTGGATCCACATGTTGAAACACGCTGTCACTTTAAGTTATTGCTGTGGATTTACAGCATGTAAGCTTTACAGGCAGCGGTGAGAGATTGCCTCTGAAGCTGCCGGTGACTGAGGCTGCATGTTGCTGCACTGCAGATTTCACTCCGGGCAGAAAAAGTCACGCAACTCCCCTGAATCGCTTTTTTTCTTTCTTTAACTGATAAGTCCAGTAAATGACAGAGCTTTTTGTAGTGCAGCTTACAGAGCTTAAAGGTGCACTGCTGACACTGGAAATAGTACTTTGGCTTTTTTTTGCATCCAATAACACCATAATAGTATTTATCAGATGTGCACTAAAGCTGGCATTCATAAAAAAAAAAAACATTTGTGCTTATGAATCAAAGTGGGGAGCGTTGAATGGAGATGGAGAGTGCACATTCCTGTCTCTCTCAGCATGACGACACACTATCATTAATAAATGGAGCAGGACAGGGCAGAGCAGCACATCACAGACATGGTGTGCAGGTGGACTATTTTAGCCCTCCTCATCTATCATTAAAACAAGCCACTGTATGGACAGACATGCTGGATGATCAGCTGATGGATGGGTGGACGGGAAGACAGCAAAGTAGGCGATGGCAGGCGGCCAGACAGGTCCATTACGGGAAAAAAGATCTACAGTGAAATATTTTAAATATATCATAAGCAAAGTCGCGTGTTTTTTGTACAGTGAACAGACAAGCAGTCAGATAGAATGTATGGAACGGGTAGAACGTGTTACTGTCAGGTCTCCAGAGAAGCTCCAGCCTGACTTGGAGTCAACTTTTTATTAATGCATGTTAAAGCCAAGTCAGGGGATGAATACAGCGAAGGCCCCAGTAGGTGCAGCACACATCCCGTCCTTGTACAGCTCATCTATAAACCATGGAGAGTCTCCCATTATCTACAGAATCCAGCTTCATATTTTACTGCCCATCCTGCGGTGCTCCTCTGGGCTGCTGTCCGTCAGAGGTCTTACCTTGTAACGTTTTGGCCATCTGTGTGTGTGCTGCTGCATTAGCTGGAGGGGATTAAAGCCTTGGCGGCCTACAAGTCTTAATTAACCCCCGCTCATCAATTTCCTCCTCCTGTGACCAGCAACAGAACAGTCCAAGCTCGGCCCGCATCATCAATTTCGGGATTCACTCGGTGCTCAGTCTTGTCCAACAGAGGAATTTAGAGTTTTCCCATGACGCGGCGCTCGACATCGATCAGCCTCAAGATTAAAACCTCAGACAGGTAAAGTG